ATTTGAGTGTTTGTCATATGAATGTCATGTTACTTTTTTATTGTTGAGCTTCTTTCTAGTTATGTACTTCTATTTAGAGGTTCTGTGTTTTTAGTTGCGGTGCATTATTTTAGATGTGTTATTTTAGATATTTTATCATGTTTCAGCTGTTTGTGGATTTCTTCATTGAATTATCATATCTCAAATGTTGGATTCATTATGTTGATTTTGATATCACTTATTAAGTTTTATCAATAGCTTTGGATAGTTCATGTTTCATCGATGTAATGAGCAACTTTTGGAAAATCATTAAATTTAAATGACTAAATTTTATAAGGAGGGAATATTATAATAAGTGAAAATAATAATACTAGGAGTTACAAAACTTTAAGATTGGTTCAAAAAGGAGTAACCATCACGATAATTTTGTTCTTAAGAGAGTAACACCTCATTCAAACCAATTAATAGTAGAGGAATAGAAAGAACAAAATGAGAGGGTGTGAGAGGCGAGAATGAGGGACAAAGAAGTGAGGATTCATGTGGGTGACCTACTTCATGAATGAAGAGGAGGGGGTCCTCTGCGTAACCATAGTCGAGGTCGAGCGACACGTGTGCAGGAGAAAGGGGAGAGACTGTAGTCAAGGTCTCACATGACGGATGAGGCAACACAATCATTGTGCTTCGAGACCGTGTGTCGGTGCTTGTGGGAGGAGGGTTGGAGATGCTGGTACGAATTTGAAGTCAAACTGAGTGGCTTGAAAGAAAAAGGAATAGATGAGGGCCTATTGTGTGGGAAGGGAGAGTCAACTGAGCCTTAACATGCGAAAAATAGGAGGCGGCTCATATAGGAGAATAAACAGAATTGAGAGTTTATAAGGTAATATTAGGGGTTTATCAATTTCTTAAGAATAATTAATAATTTTAATTGTATAATAAATATTATTAATAGGTTATCTTAAAGTAGGGATTGAAGAACTTCTGTTAGATTGCAATTTCTTATAAGAGGATAATAGGAGGAGAACCAAATCACATTTTAAGGTGGGTTTAGAATTTAATATTATATTATAAATTTATCATATCTAGTTAAATGTATTAAATATTGATTATTGTTTTCTTGAAAAATAAATAGAGAGATGGATAAGTGTTTGGAATGAGTAGAGTTAAAAACAGTGGAAGGAAAATGTATATATTAATTGAAGTTAAAGTTTTATTTTTTTAATTCAAATTTAATTTTAGTAAAATATTAATTTTAGATTATATTAACTTATAACAACAATTACGACCAAGGAGTTTTGATGATTGGAAGTCAGTAAAATTTGAAAGCAAGGTTAAGGTTGAGTAATTATATTTTTAAATTTCACTAATATTTATTATTTTTAAATATATGGTTAATTTCATTTTGATTTTATTCAGTAAGATTTAGGGTCTGTTTGGGGCAGCTGTAAATTATCAATAATCTGCTAATAAACAACTGATTCAGATAAGCTACTGATCAGCAGCTGATCCGAATAAGCTAGCTGACTATTTATTTTGTGCATTTGAAAAATAGTTAATTTGCAATTGTTTCTGAATAAATGATCATTCTGCCTCTGTGCAGTAGTGTTGTTTGCAACCGAATTGTCAAGCTAAAAATTGATATCTTATTAGGAAAGAACACTTCAAAAGACTTTAAAATGCATGTTGGACATGTTCATATATCAACAAATTTCTTACACCCCCCAACACTAGCTCAACACACTTTAAAATCTTGTCTAATTTTTCAAAAACTTCTTTCCTGAATGTAAGAAGAAGGATACTAACATCAATATGTCCCTAAATCATGCATCATAAGGGCCTATTGCTCTACCATTTTTTCATTTTCCAATTGATTATGGTACCAGATATGCAAAGATTTGAGTGGTATTCATGTAAATATTCCCTTATAATATGCTCCTCAAGCTAAAATAAAAAATAATAGATCGATTTAAACTTTGCATCTCCATTTTTATTTTCTTATACGTCAAGACTCCAGGCATGCAATATTTTCATAACAAAAAAACAAAATAAAAAACAAAAGGTCATGATCAAAGAAAAGAGAAAAATCTTTACCTTAATAGGAACGTCAAAGAAGAAGAGTCGAAGCCATTCTGGACCTCGGTGACAATATCAAATTCCAAAAACGCAGACGATAAGAGAAGAAGATGCGGATAGAACTTTAAGGAAGCAACAACAACAACGTCATCGACGGGAGAGATTGAAAGAGGCACGTGTTGAAGGCACGGGATAAGGGCAACCCAGTAAACAAATCTTCTCTAAACGCGGGCCGCGGGGTTTGACCTAAGTTCGTGTTTAATAAAAGATTTTTACGACTTATCGCAAAACACAACACCGACGCCGAAACCAAATGCCTTTGACGTTTTCAAATTGCACCACAGTAAATAAGCTGCGCTAAACGGAACCTTAGTATAACAATTTCTTCATATGGTTGGATACAAAAATATGCCTATTAAATAGTTTGCATAATAAATTTTCTATAAAGCTATTAGATTATGGAATGACATTTAAATTATAGTAGGATACATACATAGATTAGTGTATGACATTCAACATATATTAAGTTATTACATGATTTTTAGACTCAAAGTAGAGATACATATAACATGTCATTACAAGATATTTAGTAAAGAGTCTGATCCACCTTAAAATTGCTTGTTTTTATTGTACATTTCATGTTTATTTTATGCACATTTTTTATGATATCGCACCTTAAAGGAAGATATTTTGCATGTTTTTTATTTTAGGTACAAGAATTGGAGTTTTAGCGAAAATGAAGCAAAAACGGCGCAATTTGGAGACAAATTGAGAATGAAGAAAATTCTGATATGAAGTTCTATGCTTAATTTATTATATATTTATTACATATTTTTGAATGAAATTACACTTTAAAGCAAGATTATTTTTATGTCTATCTTGTAGGCATAATACTAGGAGCGATTCAGAGCTAAAACGGGGCGAAACAGAGACAATATGGATCAAAACAGGTGTGTTGTCCACATACTGGAGCCATAGCGCCAGTCGTGACTTGAAACAGGTGCTATACCGCTAATTCGGGCGCTATAGTGATTGAGACGGTTTTTAGACGTTTTTTTGGAGATTTCGAGCCATTCTAAGATGTTCCGGAAGCTTCTAGATGGCTTGCACGCCCTATAGAGTGGTTAAATGAATCTAGACACATTGAAATAAAGAGATGTGTCTCTTGGAGTGAAAAAGTGTCATTTAGATGAAGAGATGTGTCTTTTGGAGAAATGAGGGATTTTTGTGTCTCTTTAAAAAGATGGGTTTGGCGCCTCTCATGACAAATTTTAGGAGGAGTTTTTAGAAGCATTTTAGAGAGAGTTTGGTGTGATTAGGAGATATAGATTTTTCCTTTGTCTGGAGACATTGGTGAGGGATTTTGAGAGATATGTGTAAGAAAATATAAAGGCGGCGCATAGATCGACAGGAGACTTTGGTGGAGAGATTTTTCATATTTCTTTCAGAGGGAAAAAAACTAATTTTGTGTTCTTCATTATCTTCTAATTATTGTAAACACTTTCTAGTGATTTTTTTTATTTAAATGAAGTTTTTTGTGGTGTTTTATCCATGCTTCTTAAAGTTTTCTTATAACTTTTTTCTTTTAATATGAAGTAGTGACATATGTAGGAAAATTTGTTTCATGATAGAATTATTTTTATTTTCATGTGATGAGTAATATCTTTTTTGTTTCATTGACATAACTTAAGTGACAATAAGTTATATTAAAATTTGTTGCATGTGAAACTAAGACTTTGGAGAGCTGTGATCTTGCAATTTGAGTGTGCTCACATTGCTTGGTTGGCTAATAAAATAGTTTAGATGGAAATGCAACTTTAAGAAAATATAATTTAATGATCTGTTTCTATTTGATGCTTCTAGGTGATAGATAGTTGCATAAA